CTTTTCCAATGAAAAGTTTGTGGTGTCAAAATAGGAGCATACAAAGTCCCATCTGGTACTGTTTCATTGTAAAGTAATATTAGTCCAGTAATACTCCTGTATGAAACTGATAGCTACCACCAAATACTTGTGTTATTCATAGAAGATTTGGGGGTAAATGCCCCTATCAAGGAAAAAAAATAACTTATCATAAGGCTTTAATTGGTAATCATAGCACCTTCAACTATTCATTCCTTTTCCCCTTTATCTTCTGCCAGCATTTGGAATAGACAAGTTATTTACCTGGTGCATCAAACCAAGATTTTATTCCTGCCAAATCTTATTCCTTTGCTTCCTCTTCTTAATTAGGTTGCAACCGTTTTAGTTTTCCATGAAAATGGAAATTGGAGTATAGAAACGGAGAATTGGAAAATTAGGTGGAGTTATACCAGAGAATACTTGTGAATCTGCTAAATTCCAAATAAAGTCTTCCTTGCCTTCATTTGTATAGTAAAGGCACATTGTCTTCCTGGCAATGAGATTAATCGCTGGACCCAGCACCGTGACTATGTTTTCTGTCAGTTTTTTTGCCCCCAGTCATACTGAGCCCAAAATGATCAGAGAGGAATTTCAGTTTTCAATTCAGAGGAACAGAATTATGGCTTTGTTCCTTGTTGGAGGTACTCTTCCCTTGCGCATGAGGACTTCTAAACCCACCAAGCCTATTATCATGAGAATAAGAAACAGAATGTGCCCAATGGATTACTGCTGTGATAATGAAAGAGAACATTACACTTTTACCCCTTAACCTAGATCTATGCTTCCTCTTAATTCAGGAGGGACACAGAGCCTCCTCTGCTGTGGATGTGCTTAGGTGGACATTAAGTAGGACACTAATATCTGTAGGATAACATCCCAACTTCAGGAATGTGGTCAAACAAATAGTGCCAAAATTGGGACAGAGCAGGCTGTTTTACTATTCTGTCCAGCCAGGTCTGTACAGCTAATTAGAGACATGATGAAATCAGAGAATCCCATTTGAGCCCATTGCCCTCTTTTTGCTGTAAATAGTTGCTGTTTGGAGGTGACATAGTGTGAGTTATTGTGGTAATGGATAGGCTATCCTGTAAATCCATGAATAGCAGTACTGATAGGACTAAAGGCAGCAAATGCGCAACTATACCTAGACCACGTGTCTATCTCTATGATAGCAATGCTACCCCTTGATAGAAGAGTTTCCATGCAGTCCACCTGTCATCAGGTGGTCGACTGGGTTTTCTGATAAATAATGCCATGTGAAGGGTTTATTAATGATCAATGTTATTGCAGGTCATGGTGGCAAACTGGAATGCACGTGGTGGCCATACCATGATTGGATCGTTAAGAACCTCCTCTGCTATGGATATGCTCTGATCGGCACTAAGCTGGACACTAGTATCTTCAAATGTTTACATTTTTATACCTCCTGACAAGTCCATACACTTACCTTTCCCTAGACTTCCTGTCACTAATCCTGTAATTTTACTTTTCTATATCCCTGACCAGGTGGACTCTTATTAGTTCCTGTGCAGAAGTCAGGATGGCCCCATGCTGCAATCTAAGTGTCCTTCCACAAGAAGTGGAAAATATATATCTTGTTCAAAAGCCTTCCAACTGGGAGAATTTATGTTTATTATAGTCTTTTACTATCACTCCTGAATCGGATTATAGTACAGTGAAGTGAAAGTCTCTCAGTCATGTCTGACTCTTTGCAACCCCATGGACTATACAGTTCATGGAATTCTCCTGGCCAGAATACTGGAGTGGGTAGCCTTTCCCTTCTCCAGGGGATCTTCCCAACCCAGGGATTAAACCCAGGTCTCCTGCACTGCAGGCGGATTCTTTACCAGCTGAGCCACAAGGGAAGCAGAGCCTGTCCAATTCCAATGTGTTGAAGTACATCATGCAAACCTGCCCATAAACCAGGCTTGCATTTATTCCTCCTCTGCCAGTTTATGTTAGAAAACACACCCTGAAGTATAGATGTGAAATAAAAGAAAGATAAAGTAGAGGACGCCTATATGTAGAGTTCACCTATATGTTCTGGTCTAGTTCCATATAAACCCCTTCTATCTTATAGTGGAATATAGCTGTATATGTTTAGTTTTATGGTCACTGAATCAGATAAAAATCAGTTCACAACTGGCAGTTTGGTTGCATCGTCACTTGGCATCCCATGCTCAGATTGATTGTTTTTACTATAGCTCAATAGAGAACTGCCTTTGAATCAGGGAATATTTATCAGCACAGGAGAAAATGACCTTTCTGTAAACCTTGTAATGCCTGTGGTTCAGTTGTCATGTGGTAATTCTCAGGAATTGCACACAAAATCAGTTTGCATGGATGCTTATATCATCATCATATCTGCTGGGTCACAAGGTGAAGATGGTAGGGAAGGTTGTACCATGCCCTGATACGCTCCACAACCTCCTCCCGCTCAGGTTCTACTCACAACTGGCAGCTTTACAGGTTGAAGCAAAGCGAAAGTTGGTCAGTCATGTCTGACTCTTTGTGACCCCATGGATTATAGCTGCCAGGCTCCTCTGTTCATGAAATTCTCCAGGGAAAAATACTGGAATGTATTGCCATTTCCTTCTCTAGGGACCTTCCTGACCCAGGGATTGAACCCGGGTCTCTTGCATTGCAGGCAGATTCTTCACCATCTGAGTCACCTGGGAACCTGGGAGCAAAACTGGCCAACATGTGTTTATGTGGTTTATGATGTTTGTCAAAATCCAGAGTCCAGGACTTCTACATATTGTTTTTAATTTTTAAAATTATGCAAATATGATGACACATTTATGGAAGACTTGGAAAATACAGAACAAGGTTACATATAGTTCCACTATATATTACAATTAATTTTAAGTTGATAAATTAAGATTTTTAGTTGGAGTTTCAATACCAAACTCTCAAAAATTAATAGAATGAAAGACAGAAAAGTAGAAGGATATAGTAGACCTGAAAAAGCACTATGAACTAATTCAATATACTTAAGGTTTATATAATTTTCACACAATAGCAACATACAAAATCTATTCAAGTTCCCATAGACTAAACCAAGGGACAGTGGAACTTATCCAGGAACATAAAACAAGGTGCAAAAATTTCATGGTCTAAAGATATTGAAATCATAGAGTTTGTTCTCTTATCACTGTGGAATTATGTGAGAAATTAAGTGTAGGCCCTCTAAACTTTTAAATAAATACAATCCCAACACTCACTTGATCAGAGATATCCTACTCTTCCCTAGGTATGCCAACTCCTAAGTTTTACAGGAATTCATTTTATACTCTGCCTTTATGCAGAGCAGATCTAGCTCCCTCGGATAGAGGTTGCCTCAGTCAGCAAGATTTGCGGAAATTTTGAGGTTCAAAATCTTCAGCCAACTTTCCATTGCAAAACTGGTTATTCATGAGACTGGTCCAAAAAGCATTAAGTGTGCTGCGCACATCTACCTAAGCAGTCTTATACTGTGTCAGCTCCAAATACTTCCCCGATACTATGCTCAGCTTTAAAAAACAAGTGGAGTTCAACCCATAGTTTGGAGTTCAACCCATAGTTTGGAGTTCAACCCATAGTTTGGAGTTCAACCCATAGTTTGGAGTTCAACCCATAGTTTGGGACTCAGCTCTGCAACACAACTTGGACCCCAGTCACATCTGCCCTTCCATCAGATGTGGGGCCTCTCACCACAGAAGAGAGGAACGCCAAAGTTGTCATGGCTACCTTTCGTGTTTCCCTGATTTAGTGGTCATGATTCAATTTCTGTTTATTTCTATGTAATCCCTGTAAGGTCTCGTAAAAACTCACCGTCTTTAAAGTTGCCCTTGTTGCAACAACTGAGTGTCACAACCGCTTGTCCTTCCAACACTTTTCCTCTCTAGCTGCATTTCATCCTATGTCATCACAAATGACAATTGATTATTTGTGATCCCATCCCTTGGTATGGATTATCTATGCTCCAGTTCCCCCAAGAAATGTTATTATCACATAAAAGATATATATATATATAGATAGATATAGATTAAACATCAATATATAGACTAGATAGATACAGACACATCTCCAACCTAGTCTCAAAAATCTAATTTTGAAGATCTCTTTTCTGGGTCTTAAAAGGAAAAGAGTTAGCATATTCAATAATTTGAAAGGGGTTTATTTACAAAAAGATAAATAGTAGAACTATAATCTAGACTAATAGCAGCCAGGCAATGACAACCTCTATGGAAACAGAAGTGAGCCATTATCAGACACAAAAGGAGAAAATTGTGTAGATGAGGCTGCATTGATGGGAGAGTAGCATCATTTAACACACACAGCAAGTCTTGGGTGACGTTACAGATCAGAGTCAAGGGAATATGTATATACTGCCCTTTTAGTCATCTCCTTATAATCTCTTGCCAAAGCACCAGAATGGCCATGCTCTAGAGTGCATGGGAGCCCTTTTGATAGAGTTCATATGAGTTAATTTCCTGGGCCAGAAATCAGATATATAAAAGTGGATAGTGGATCTGGGGTCACACAAAAGGTACGTAGTATATTTTTAATTTTATTTCCTTAGAGTTTAAAATAGTTTAACGCATCTGCAGGGTATTTGACTAGTTTGATGATGAGAGGATGGAAATGTGACTGAGTGCAAATATGAAAGGTGACATGGATATGGTTAGTGTCATACTTCAGTCTTCAACGACTCTTCTCCTCTTCTTATTCTTTTTACTTCATTGTGCTTTCACCTCTGTTCAAATTGCTGGCAATCCATGAAATCCTAACTTCACTGCTTTATTCTTCCCTTCCTTTGCAACTGTTTTTCCTGGGACTGAAAGAGTAACCTGAAGATAGAGAATTCTCCATGAAATTGAATCAAACCCATCACACTGTGTAGAAAATATTTATGACAATGGAGATTTCAAGGACAGACATTTGTGGGTCAATGAGCCCACATCTACAGTTGGTTTCAAACTAACACTCATTTATTCTAGAGGAACTTCTGCATTCTCACATCGCCCACTGGTGGTCACCAGATGGAGAAAGGCTCGCCTTCCTAATGATAAATGATTCCTTGGTGCCTAACATGGTTATCCCTCGGTTTACTGGAGCTTTGTATCCCAAAGGAAAGCAGTATCCATATCCTAAGGTAAGTCATGTGGAAATAAATGCTAGTTTGTTCCCCTTCTCTCTGCACCAGTGAGTTGATCAATAGTATATTCTTGGTTCAGAAACAAGTTGTCTTCAGAGAATTAAAGAAACCCCCTTACTTGTCGACAGACTCACGATTTTAAGAGCATGCGATAGTCTATCCACTGTGCTTCCACAGGCACAGGTGAAGGTGATTCAAGATTGCAGGAACTTCTGCCTTATTTCTTTCCCTTTGATGCTCTCGGTCTTTATCTCTCACTTTCACAGCTGGAAAGAGAGTGAGAAAACGTAAGTCAGCACTGATGCCAGGGCAGAGGTTTCTCCGAGGTATATTCTGTGAGCTGTTAGTAGGTATTATAAAGGAGCGAAAACTATCACAGTCAGATAAGCTGGGAATTCTCGGTTAAGAAAAAATTTAGTGTTTTTCAGATGATTTCTCAGAACAGTTAGTATACTGTATGCTAATGTATGTTATAAATCTCCTATACAAAGTAGACTAAGCATAAAGGATCTCCAGTAAGGAATAGACTAAACATAAAGAATCTCACTAAAAAAATAGACTAAACATAAAGAATCACCAATAAGGAGTAGACTAAGTCCAGAGAATTTATTAGTGTTAATATTAACATCAGCATTCTTTTGGCAGAGCATACTCTGGAACATACTTTATAAAATGCTGGGCAGAGCCATAGCCAGGCATAGCTGGAATAGCTGGAATTGTTTTATCGTGTGAAGTGAATGTGGAACTCTTGCCCAGATAGCAAAACTATTTTTTTTATGAGTAGCACAATTTCTCTTATTCCTAATGCTAAGTCCACAGGCCCTGACTCCACCCACCCATTCTTGCCATATCTTCTATGAAAACAAACTGATACCAAAGAACAAATAATGGATAACGTTTTAAGGAGTGATAGTGAGTTCTCATGATGAGAATTTATTATAAGTATTTTTCCTCAAAAGTGTTTAAATATTTTAATGTGATGTGAAGTCGCTCAGTCGTGTCTGACTCCTTGCGACTTCATGGACTGTAGCCCGTGGGATTTTCCAGGCAAGAGTGCTGGAGTGGGTTGCCATTTCCTTCTCCAACCTTTGCATCTCACATGAAACTAGAGAGAAGTCATATTCAGCATGGAGGTTTAGAAAAATCCCCCTCTTCTTCTGATACCCTGAAGTCAGCCTTGGTCAGCCACAGAGTATATCCCCTTGTTAACAAGGGGATAAATCAATTTGCCTTTTGAGTCTCTTGGTATATTTTTATTCAGCAAAGCTACTTTTAAGTGTTGGGTAAGGCCTCTGAAAGCAGGCTGAAGAAACATCTGGAGTGTATTAGTTTTTCTTTTATATGTCATTTTTAATTAATGTCATTCTTGCTTTAAAGCTCATTTTCCCCATGTTTACAAAAAAAGAAAAAGTGAGGTAGCCCTAGACATTAGTCATGTAAAGATGTCTTATAGAAAACTTTTAAATTCCGGTTTACACATTTTAACTCTTGAGATAAGAAGTGGCTGTTGATTTTATTTAGAAGCCGTTTTTAAGCCATTTCTTTAATGAGTTGTATGTTGTGTTTACAAAGTACAATAGACTGTGTACCTTTAAATGTATGCATTACCTTAACTGTACTATGCATAGTACTGGAAAAATTATGCATCACATGCATTTTCTACACCTGCAATGAAGGCATGGTCGGTGGGAGGGTGAGGTGAGTTTGCTGATATTCCTGTCATCCACAAGACTCCTGGGAACAGGAGGAAGGAAAGGAGTGAATATTGAGAGGGATGAGAAGACTGTTCTGTGCTTTCTATCTCCCCATCCCATCTTCCTTCTGGTAGCTGTAATATCAGTGTGACTGACTGGCAGCTATGGAAGGCAGCAGGATTGAGAAGAATGATTCTACCATTCTGAAATATCATTTTTAGGCCATTTTCTGGGCATAGATCTGAAAACACATATACTCAACAACTCCTCAGGAAAATATGGCACTTTGACCTAGCAACAAAATAATTATATCTCCCAAGACATTTGTCTGGTACTTCATGTAAAATCCTTATGTCTTCTCCAGTTGTAGATTTACCCATGTTTTGTGGATGACAGTTTATGCCAGTATAACATACCTGACCTTTATTTTTACCAGGAAAAATCTGAAAAGACTTCTGAAATATATTCTCACCCCATTGGATTTACTTAAAATGAAAGTGTAAATACAATGTATTTACAATGTAAATACAAAATGAATAATAGGTCTTTGTTGTGAAAGCAACATGTCACTCAGGATGTCCAGTGTGTGCACTACATAAAGGGCATAAAATCAAATCCAGGGAAGGGACCACTTTCTGTAATTAATTTCCCAGGAGAAGTAGGGATTTTAGGATTCACAGAAAAGCCATATGTCATAGCTGCATCTTCAAGTTGCCTTCTCTATTACAGACTTGGTGAACTTGGACACTCCTGGGCCTGAAAATTTTATTGTCTGTGGCAAATAAATGGACATATAAAAACATCTGAGAAAATCTAAATAAGTTAACAGTAAATCAGAAGATTCTGGGTTGACAAACCTAGACAATTTATTGCTATTTATGTTATTATTTAAATAATATTTCTTAATAGTAAGTAGGCATAAAATTAAAATGTTTATGTATTAACTGGGTAAATCATGAATGCTAATAATATGCTATATATTTTCATAGAGACCTTTCACTTTTTTTCTTTATTTGGCCCTCTTCACAATTGCCTCTGATTTACAAATAGGCAAAATAAGGCTCTAAAAGGCTATGTCCTTTTATAAAAGTCATAGTTATTTTGAAAACAGAGAAATAACTCAAATTTATTGATTCTGTCTCTCTCTCTCTGTAAAACTACCAGAGGTTAACTTGTATCTCAGAAGATGTAGCTGGAATCAAAATATCTCCTTGTCAAGTTAACAAATAGATGTGGGGCTCTGGTGGCCCCATTAGGTGCAAATGACTCAGCTCTGCATGAGTAACTTTCAGAGGTACCATCAAACATGTTATGTGTGCATGCTCAGTTGCTTTGGTTCTGCCCAACTCTGTGTGAGCCGGCGGGCTGTAGCCCACCAGGCTCCTCTGCCCTTGGGATTCTGCAGGCAAGAATACTGGAGTGGGTTGCCATGCCCTCCTCCAGGGGATCTCCCCGACCCAGGGATCAAATCCACATCTCCTGTCTTACAGTGGATTCTTTACCGCTGAGCCGCCGGAGAAGCCCCACACATGCTATGTATGTGATGAATGTATGTCTGCAGGGACTGCAACCTGTGCTTCTTGCATCTCCTGCAGTGGCAGGCAGATTCGTGACCACTAACACCACCTGGGCAGCCTCATATCTAATGCATGATATGTGTTACATAACAAAGGTCCTGAGTGCTTTCCTAACTACCATTAGAGAGTATTAAAGAGAAAGACAAGACATATATTATAGTGGCCAAAGAGAAAGAATTCCAAGTCCTCAGGTGGTTGTCAGTAGAAATATCTGCAGGTACTTAAGGCAACAGAACTCGAAGAAACTAGTTTTGGGTTTTTATCCTGTTCTCAGAATAAACTTCGGTATCGTTTTGGGTCTATTACTTGAATTTTCAAAATCTTATTATTTTCTACTCTGGTTTAAAAAAGAAACGTTTGTTAATTTTTCCACTAACAAATGTTTTATTTTGATTTGCTCTTACTTATGCAATAAACTTTCAAAAAGTTGTCCTTTAGAGTTTTCAGTAATGCATAGAATTCACACTAAATTGTTCTTCAAATTAAACTAGATTAAAATGAGTGCAGCAAATACCCAATGTGGTCAGATTTCTAATGAAATACTTACACTAAACAAATATATTTGTATTTTACTTAATTCAGCATGATTCAGAACTCATAAAATACCCCATCATTAGCAATTCAGCACAAAAAAGATACACAGTTATATCTCAATAACCTCAGGTTAATCTTCTTAATTAAAACATTATCTCGTTTAATGACAATTTAGTTGCCAGTAAAATAAGGTTAATTATTATTGAGGCTTGTGTTTCAGAATCATAGGAGGAGGATTCTGTGGATTTTCAGTCTTTGTAGCAAATTAACTATAAAAGCCCAATAGATGAACTCCTCTAATTTGCAAACTATTGAAGCAATCCAGATATTAAAAGGTACAAGTGAATTTGCAATGTGTGCTTAATTTCAAAAGTCCATGTAAAAATATCAAATTGAGATTATAGAATTCTAAACAGCTGAATTTTAGAAACAGCTTAATGTTTGGTTTTGGCCACAAGGAAGCTAACTGGAATACCAGTTATCCTTACAGTCTTATAGATCAGAAAAAAAAAAAAAAAAAAACTTCCTTACTTTCAACAAAGTATGCCATAAAATTATGCATCATTGATAAGAGTTCACAAAAACTGATCAGATTTAATGTAATTTGTCATTTTCTTTAATCAGTTTACTGAAAGATTAAAAAATATAAGCACATTTAAAAAAAAAACTAGAAAAATCAGTGTCTAACCATTATATTGAATTCATGAGTTAATTATTTAAGTAAATGTATACTATTTTGGAGAAGGAAATGGGAACCCACTCCAGTACTCTTGCCGAGAAAATCCCATGAACGGAGGAGCCTGATGTAGGCTACTGTCCATGGGGTTGCAAAGAGTTGGACACAACTGAGCGACTTCACTTCACTTATACTATTTTGGGCACCTTTGTAAATCATCGTTTTTGTTAGTCCATATAACAAAAGTATGAGATGGTTGTTTTCCATAGAAGCAAAATCTATTTTGACTCAAAACTTCTGTGACATATTCTCAGAGAAACATTGTCTCATTTTTGATAATCAAATAAAATAATACTTTAGAATCTTTCATGTCTGATCCAAGGTCCATATTCAGTAAATAAGTCAAAATTTGATCCCAGACTTCTCTGATTTGTAAACTGAACCAGTTCTCAAAATGTAGCCCTTTTACTAGCAGTATCAGCCACATCTGGGAAATAATTTGAAGTGCAAATTCTCACATTCAATCCAGACATTAGAAATGCTGCAAGTGGAGCTCAGCAATCATAGGTTTAATAAGCTTTCTAGGACCTCTGGATGATTTTCATGAAAGTGTTCACCTTTAATAACTGCTGAGCAGTAATGTGTATCTATATGCAGATATATGCACATATTAATATATCAGTATTTTGTTAACATTTGCATACTAATTATAATTATCCAGGTATCTTCTTAAAGCCCAGGTTCTTAGATCCACACCCCAAGATTCTGATTCTGTGTATGAATATAGGTCCAGTTGGGGCCCATGAATTTGTGTTTATAAAATTCTCATTTATTCTGCTGGCTAATGAACAGCATTTTGAATGGCATTGCTAAATACTGTGTCCCCGCTCTAAATCTGAGCATATTTGATCAAGATAAAGAAATGATTAGACTCAAAAAATACAGAAAATGACCCATACTTTCAGGGTGGAACATGGCAATTTAATTAGAACAAGTGATGTGAAAAAGAATTCCTAAGGGAAGAAGAAGGATATATTGCTCAAGACAGAGGAACCTAGGCACTGGAGAGTTTTAGAATAAAAAGCTTTACAAAATTTGACACCAGAGGCTTCTCTGCGAGGCAAGTTCATGGCTTATTTTCCGGGAAGCCCTTCATCATACGAACCATTTTCATAATTTCTGTTTATGGTCACCACATTTCTAAAATGAAAGCTTTTGCAGACTCCTTTCTTTGGATCATACTCCTGACTTGTGTGTGATACACTTCCACAGATGTACTAGTCACTTTTTTTAAATGAAGACTTTCTTTTTTCAGAGCAGTTTAAGATTCACAACAAACTTGAGGAGAAGGAAGATATTTGTGCCATATATAACCCCTTTGGCCACTCAACATCCCCCACTAGAGTTGTGCATTTGATACAACTGATGAAGCTCCACTGACACATTGTAATCACCCAAAGTCCAGAGTTGGCATTATGGTTCAAACTTGGTTCATGTATTCTATGAATCTGGACAGATGTGTAATGAAAGATACAGAGGATTTGTCTCAGCTCTATAAATCCTCTGTTTCATCATCTATTCATCCCTCCTCCCTCCCCTCCATGTTCCTTATTTTTAATAAGTTAACAAGATATTCTTGATGAGCTATTACTGATTGTTGGTGGAACACATCATGTTGCTTCTGGTCCTAATTTAACTCTGGATTTTGTTAGTAACAATTCCTTGAATGTGAATCTTCATTATCTTTATATAAGCTCTATTATTCTCCTTAGATTTTTGTCAGGTCTTTTAATTCAGCTCACTTTTTATTTCCTCGTCCTTCTTTGTATATCTCACGGGGCCCTCTCTTCACAAAGCAGATGGACCACAATGATGATAGTGTGTCTTTTAGAAACACGTTGAGCTACAAGTAGTCAGTTGATTCTATTAATTATTTATTCACACAAACATCCTTTCATTTATCCAACATACTTGCGATACGTTGATGTAAGTTCCCAGGTCTGCTCCCTAAAGGTTCACAGTATATTTAAAAAACTTAGATGATGATTGCCTAGGAATAAACTGAAGCAAAACTAGAGCAGTTAAGAGCATCCTGGGGTTAAATACTGGCTCCCTTAGTTATTGGATGCTTCACCTTGAACAATTTGCTTAGCTTCTCCATCTGGGAAATGGTTTTAAATAGGTCTTAGGACTGTAGTAGGAACATACAATAAGATAATTCATGTGGTGCTTTAACACACATGAGGAGCCAGAAACATACTAACTGCTACACAGCCTAGTTACTATTTCACAAATTTTGATTTAATAGACTCAAATTACAGTTTCTTACCACTGTCTCTCTAGTCTTCAAGCTAGGTGCATAGTGAAGGCAATCTCCATTCTACATCCTAAGAGAATTTACACCTCATTTTAGCATTCGTTATAATTTAAAAGAAAGCCTGTGATGACTAATGGATGGAGTAGATTAAGTATTGTGGAATTTTAAGCACCAGGATTTGGTATGTTTTCTTTTTCTTTCTTCTTCCTCTTCTTACTTTTAAATTAACCAAGCTCTTTTCCCTTTGCATTTCATATCCTATAGTGTGAGTTGTTTTGTAAAGCCAGCCATTCTAGTGTCATTCTAGGGGAAGAACACAGTAGTACTGCCTAATGAATAAAGTCATGATGATTTTCTATCACCTTTAATTGTCTGACTAAAATGCTTGAGAAGCAGCAATCTACAAAAACAATTGAAAGCAATCAAGTTGTTGAATTTAAAATCATTTCTACTTCAGAGAAATTAAATGTTTTCCCCATTCTAACACAAAATTGCAAAAGAATCAAAATGCATTTTCTTTCTTTCTCAATATATTCTAATGCTTAATGTATTTGCATTGCAACTTTCATTTTCTCAAAGGCAGGTCAAGTGAACCCAACAATCAAATTGTATGTTGTAAACCTATATGGACCAACTCATACTTTGGAACTCATGCCACCAGATAGCTTTAAATCAAGGTATGTAATTTCAATTTCACTTTTACCAGAAAATAGATCTATTAACTCCAATGATCATTTTGTTGCCATTTGGAGAGAGATGTGATCATCTCAGCAAATTCACTTGAAAATAAAACTGAGGTTGCCTCCATTAGTGTAAAAATGAACTCATTCTGGATCTCTTCTTTTTCCCAGGAAGAATTTAGGGTTTTAAGGTGATTACCAGCATCACAAAATGACTAAATATACTGATAGCAAGAATTAGATCTTCGGCAGGAGACACGTGTGAGAGAGATGGGGGCAAAGGATAATTTTCTATTGAATTTTCTTCCTGAAAATAACTGCTCCATATTTTTAAGTGGCTCTCTTTAAAAGAGTACCATCTTCCTAAAATGTGTATGATTTTCCAACTTTTTCCCTGTTAACTTGCCAATGATTCCCTAGCTTTGTTCTCCAGGCAGAAAAATTTAATGAGATTTTGCTTTAAATATCCTACCTAAGAATCCTGTTTCTTTAAGCTCTAGTAGAAACAAAAGAAACACATCATATGGGTCAAAAGCATCATTTTAATATTAGTAAAATTTCCAATAACTGAACAGCTAACAAAATAATCATGTGGATTGTGAAATCCACAGTGATCTCAAACTTCTAAATTGACTTTTCAAATTTTTTAACTTGGTAAAAATTTACAACATCCCTGGAGATTTTGCACTATGAGTGAGTGAAGTCGCTCAGTCATGTCCAACTCTTTGTGACCCCATGGACTATAACCTACCAGGCTCCTCCATCCATGGAATTTTCCAGGCAAGAGTACTGTAGTGGGTTGCCATTTTCTTCTCCAGGGGATCTTCCCGACCTTATATTTTACACTATATTGAATGATATAGCTAAGCTTATAGTTTGTTTTTTTAATATCAAAAATAATTACAGTGTGACTGATTGATGTTGAAATCCCACTTAGTGTTCCACTGACATATTTAGGAAATTTTCATCATATTTGGGATTTTCACAGATAGTGCAGCCTTCAATCTGTGGATATTTTTCCTATTTGAAGAGTTGTTAAAAATATATGTAATGTTTACACTGGAAAGGCCTCCATTAACTATCTAATATCGACTTTTCCTATTATTGATGGAAAAGATGAAGTCCAGAGAAAAAGTATGCTTGAGGTACAATCTTAAGATTAGTTGGCAGGAGAGATAGAAAGTAAAATAAAACATCTTTCAAGTTATAGAGCATTTCATCTAGATTGTGATAAAAGACTTTTATAATAAAATTGTCATATAGAATACAGTATAGTTGACCAAATCAGAAGAAACTTCCACTTCTGAACTCATTTACCAGCAGTGAAAGTTTTACATACAAATGAAGCAGTTATGAAAATTATTATTTTTTGTGATCTGTACTTTGATTTGTTTAGTATTCTGAACTAACAGAAAGGGCACTAGACTAGAGTGTTTGAGTCATATGTCTACTACCACTTTATTATATGACTTTGGATAAGTCACTTTATCTCTCTCTGGGCCTGAATGCCCTCATCTTAAAATAATAATTTCTAATTTTCATTAATTTTTAAAATATTTAAAATGGAAGTCAATTTTATAATATCCAGATTTCTTTCTTGATGCTATTATTTAAGAGCCTCTCTAATGAGTTCACCAGATAAGACATAGCAGTGTCATCAAATACAAAAATTTCTAAAGGTAGAATCAACTGTCATTATTAGAGTATTAGTTAAGCACATATCTCTTTAATATTTGAGGTAAAATGTGATCAGGTTAGGTACCCATTGCAAAAAGATATTGCATAGCTTTAAATGTTGGAAATCCAATATATAGAAATACAGAATGATATACTAGATCCCTCTAAGAATGAAGAAGCATCCTGTGAAGAAAAAGTTCTTAAATGTAATTCAGATATGTTGTTTTGGCAATGAATTTCATCTATTTCATCTACATTTGGAAGAGTCAGGTAATACCTTATCTACACAATGTATGTAGCATGTTAGCATGTTTTGTTTTTCTTTCATAATTGTGTAACTTGGAGTAGGAAATGGCAACCTACTCCAGTGTTCTTGCCTGGCAAATCCTATGGACAGAGGACCCCGCAGGCTACAGTCCATGGGGTCACAAAGTGTTGGACACGACTTAATGACTAAACAACACAGCAATTATATAGCTGCCATTTGTTATATGTGAAATGCACCAAAGTGTATGATTTACTCTTTATGTTGTAAAACTCAAAATCAAAGTTTACTTCAAAATGGTGTTTTCAAATATTCCCCATGCTTCAGTTTTCATGTTTCCTTACACATTTCCTTATTTATTCTTTCCTGATGAACACTTTAGTCCAATTTCCTATCTCCTATATTTAGCCTCTCTGAGCACAGGTGTGACTTTAATGGGTCTAAAAACACACAAGCATGAACAACATAGAAATATACCTATGGTGCAAATCAAATAATGCTACATTTATCTGCATATCAAAGGGAAATTAATCTAATACTTTCTCTTGATTTTGTTTTAGGATTTTCAGTATCTATAATAGTTAATACTCAGTACTTTAGCCATATGGAAATTTGCTAGAGAACTATTGTGCCCTCCCTGGTTAGATACACATCTGAGATCTAAGAGTTATCATTTTTCATAATTTATTGGTCAGGGTTCTGAAAATTAAAAAGATGACACACTCAAGCGGGGCAATTGAAATGCATTAATTAAGGGAACTTTAGTAAAGATATGGGAAGGATTAAAAGGAAACTCACAAGGGACGGGAATGCAACAGGAGAGTCTGTAATAGCAGAAAGCTTTTACTGCCCCAGGACTGAAGGAACAAGGGGCAGGCTACTCAAGAAGCCTGGAAAGGCCTGTAGCAAAAGAACAGGATGGATCAGCAGGTAGAACGATTTAGTCATTGCCAAACCAGATCCTAATGGGGGGAGAGTGCCCAGAAAATAAAACTGAATCCTCTCTGCTAAAGCTTGGAGTTCCTCCAGAGGTCTCTCTTGGGCTAGGGAACCTGGTGACAGAGTCCAGGCTCTGGAAACGGTGGGAGCAAGGGGCAAATGCCAGACTAGATCTGGCAAATGGAGAATATTCAATGCAAATGATTTAAGGATAATGTTGACCTTAAGAAATTTATTATGGCTATTACTTTAGGGGTGAGTTGGAGATGTCCACCTGGATGCACAATAATTTATCTGAGGCCAAGTGAACAGTTGTTCTGTTGCTGTTTCTGGTTCTGTTTCTGTCCCTGGGTCTTTCTCTCTGTCTTTGTGTATGTATGGTGTGTGTGTGTGTGTGTGTGTGTGTTTCAGTCTCTCTCTCTCTTCCTCTCTCTACACACACACACACAAACACACACACACCCAAGCATATACATACACGATGATTCATCTTAGTATTATTTGTGCTTTTCCTGAAAACTTGCCATATTTTTCTCAAATGCATTGTAGATTATGTAACTGTTTCAACTGCATCAGTGTCCTTTGGACATGGAGTTTACCCTAGGTGATAGTTTGTGCTGTGTGCTGAGTCGCTTAGGTCATGTCCGACTCTTTGTAACCCATGGACTGTAGCCTGCCAGGCTCCTCTGTCCATGGGGATTCTCCAGGCAAGCATACTGGAGTGGGTTGCCTCCAGGGGCTCTTCCCAACCCAGGGATGGTACCCAGGTCTCCCGCATTGCAGGTGCATTCTTTACCATCTAAGTCACCAGGGAAGCCCTCTGTGGTACTTTAGGTATCCTTTATAACTTATTTTCCTTTATCTGTCTTCCCAATCTTATTTGCCATGATATTCTTAAATCATTCAAAACTAACAAAACCTCTTTATTTTTGTAACTGTTAGATATATGGGTGTGAGCTTAGTCGCTCAGTTTTATCCAACTCTTTGCAACCCCATGGACTGTAGCTTGCCAGGCTCCTTTGTCTATGGGTTTTCTCCAGGCAAGAATACTGGAGTGGGTTGCCATGCCCAACTCCAGGGGATCTTCCCCACCCAGGGATTGAACCCAGGTCTCCCACACTGCAGGTGGATTCTTTACCGTCTGAGCCACCAAGGAAGCCCCATTAGATATATAAATATACAAATTAGTTTATTGGTACCAACATTAGTAGCAATACTTCCATATTTATTAGGTGCAGTATTCCCATAGATATCAGAGAATTTAGGTATGAACTTAAAAATATATAATTAACTTTTAGAGGAAATATTTTTATAATAATGAATCATCATGTAGATTTTTCTACAGGGTAGCAAATTGTCACATTGTTTTGGAGAAGTGATTGTCTCCTGTGTTCATTCATCTCTAGGCTGAAGAATAAAGACAATGGTTTATCTTTAGGTTCTCCTTACTCTCCATCTTTGACATTATTTTGTTTACCCGAAATCTTTCTTTAGTCATCCACCCTTTGTGACCCATTATTTTCAGACTGTTTCATTCATGTGATGCTGTCAAACTGCCACTGTCACTTTGGGCTTAAAACTCCCATGCCTTTTCTTCCTATTTAATCAAAACATGTCTAGTCTGCATCTCTTATTTTTCCAATGAATGTCTATGCCTTCCAAAAAATATAATTAATAAATGTATCTTGGTTAGGGAAATGACCCTTTTTACAAGTAATGCATGTTTACTATTAATAACAGAGGTCTACAGAGGACCTAGTTGTGACTTAGTCATGAATGTCATCACAATACACTTATGGGCAGAGATCTTGGATTATCTGGAAGCATGTGAGCGTATATGCACAAAGATTGTTGTGAACAAAGGGGAGCGACTGGACAGGAAGCCAGTGAAAACACAGGTGTGACTGCTAACACACTTGTCTGCTGGTGATGCTGGCACCTCCATTCCACACACTCTTGTGAACAATTAGATCTCCTGTACCAGACCACCCAGCTGGTAGAAAGTCTTTCTTGACTTGAGTGCAATCCCTCTAACCCGCTTGTTTCTGTCTCTGTGGCTCAAGAGGACCTGAGAGATCCTTGAGAACTTCCTGGGTAATCCAGAGCCACGGAGACTAGGAACAAGCAGGAAAGCCCTTCGAAGGAAGGGACAGTTTTGCTGGCCACTGGCTGTGGGACCCCAGATCTAATGCGTTCATGAGATGAAGTTCCGGGAGGACAGCCACATTTGCAGCAGGCAGGCCAAATAGTGTGGTATTTTCAGGTAAGGGCACATCCTTACTTCCTCATTCAGAGGAACCCTAAATATTTATATGCAAACTGAAGAAGTCTATGAATCATGAGGAGATGTGCACCTAGGATCTTGAAACAAAGAAAGAAAGAATATGGGATGTGATCTTCCTTCACTTTTTAGGTGTCAAGTTCTACTTTATCTTTCATTTTGGGGATTTCCAACACTTTATCATGGAGATTTCAATGGTTTGAAATTATCCCAATGGACTTTACAAGTTTTATTTTGTGGAGAACTCTAATCCTTATGAATATATGTACTAAAATGTCTCACATAAGACTAAATTTTGCTTATGAATGTTAAGATACATTATGCACAGATGCAGAAAATAATCATATTATTTGATCAGAGAGAAATATAAGTGGTATGATTATAAATAATAATTTTAAACTTAATTTTACACCTAAGTTAGTTTCCTTTTAAAAATCACTTATTCACCAGACTTGCACCAGTTGAATTTTGTTTTTAATTGAATTTTAATTGTTTTTATAAATAAAAATTTTCTTTTAAGTCAAGATTTCCTATCATAGGTAACAAATATAATGTATCAATATCTGGGAAGACATTGCAAATATGTTTTTAAAACATTTCACTTGAGGACTATTTTGAAAGGAAAAACACTCAAAATGAATATTTAAATTTTATTTGTTGTTCCTGTTGTCTATTTTAAAAATCATTCATATTGATTCTCATTTGGCACAAAATATACTACCACTCACTTTAGTTAATTGAGACAAATTTCTGATCATTTATAAAATTCTTCTATGTGGCGTTATTTTTCAATGAATATAGTCACTTGATTTTGCAATCTATGATCAGTTGTTTTGTAACAATCAAATTTGTTTGCCTTCAGTTTTGAACTTTTATACCAATTAATGATAAATATATATTATCTCAATTCAGCATTTTTTCCTGATTGATTATAGTATCCATTATCATTTTTCTCCATGCTAAAATGTCTAAGTATTTCTTAAAAGGTGATGCTTATATTTTTTTCCTTTTTAGTATTCACACTGCAAACATGATAATACACCTAAAATATATCAGTTTAAACAAAGCACAGTGAAAATGAACAAGATATATATATATATATATATATTTTTTTTTTTTTAAGAATTACAAGTTCCATTGATTTGGCCAAAGATTAATCCTAAACCAATTGCATATTTTATTTGAAGTTGCTTTGTTAACTTTATTTTGGGAACTTTATTCTATGACTTCATTGAGTTTCTAGGCAATTTTCATGTGGGACTCAGCTGGTTGTGAAAGTTACTGGATGTCTTGAAGACATTGTTGAAGAACATGTGGCGGGATTCACTGTATAACAAGTTATGCTTATCCTTCCACTGATATTTTCTTTTTGATAAGATAACACATTTTCTAGAGATAGCACTAACTACTCAATTATGTTAGAAATGTGAGATTCAGGTAGCTGAATGTCTAACCCAGATGTGTCTAAGAACAAAAGATTTTTCTTTCATAAGTGTTTTTCTTCTAAGCCATATAAAAATCTGATGGATTAATTTTAAGACAATATACATGGATGGCATTTTTCAAACTATTTCTAAATCATTCCATATATTCTTAAACTGGGCAATTTTGTTAGATTTTTCTTATCATAAATTGAATTATGGATGAGTGCATTTGTTATGTGTGGATGGGGGGATTTTGTGACATATTATGTCAATTTCCAAACATAGACTCTATAATGAAAAAAATATAAACTGTAAGGGAAAAATATAACTTTCCCCAATCTACAACCAATCTGAGGACATCATAGTCATCATAATTAGCATCCTCAATAAAGCAAAAATTCAGTAGCTCTTCATTACTCTCCATTTGATTCTTTGTACACTTTAAACTTTTTCAAATAAATAAGCTAGAAAAACAATATTGTAAGAAATATTATGAATAAGATAGAGTGGCCCCTGTCTCACAAGCAAAAAGACAAAAGGAACTATTCATGACTCTGTATCTCAAGTCCCTGTGGATAAAGTGAGATGACATGGAAATCATACCTAAGAAATAATTATTAAGTCAATAATAAGATTTGGCTTTTGATTTATTATTGAATATTTTTGAAAAAGTAAAATAGAATATAGCTTAGAAAGTTTTTACTTATTTTGCATATATGTTAGTACTGTGAAAATCAACAGAAAATAACAAATTATTTATAAAGGTGTAGCATTTTGATTATTTTTACTTTTCTAAAAATGTTCTTTTTGTGAAATCATTCACTTTTAACATTAGTCTCAGATTGGCTGTATATTTGTAAATGTGCATGTTTACATATATATGTATACACATAATTTGTATTTATATATGTCAATACTTGAAGAAGCACATGTTTATGTATATATATAGAGAGAGATTAATGTGATATGACATCCTTATAGTGTTTCCTTTATTCTGCATATAAAATAACAAGTGTAATTTTTGGAACTATGTAGATTCTCTGGCTCTAAATGTAAATTCTAATTTTGTTTCCAAACTAGAGAATATTATATCACTATGGTTAAATGGGTAAGCAACACCAAGACGGTGGTCAGATGGTTAAATCGACCTCAGAACATCTCCATCCTCACAGTCTGTGAGACCACTACTGGTGCTTGTAGCAGAGTAAGTATAATTTGCTTTTCTTTATGCTTAAAATAAAATCATTTATGCTACTTCTCAAAGGAAAATTAAACAGTCATTTGTGCAAAGACTTCAATATTTAACTCTGAAGGTAGTAGAATAGTCATTCTATTAACAATGTATACTTAATTCATACGACTTCCATACTTTGAAGTAAGAAATACAGATGATAAACCAAAGAGAATAAATTAGGCTTTAAAGCAATGAATTCTTACATAAGATAAAAGATAGTCCAAGCCATGTTTCACTCTCAAATATGAGCTTTCTCTCTACATTTTGACAGTGATAAACTTGAGAACATGGGATGTTTCTTTTCTGTCTTTTTAAAACACATACCAAAAAATTCAGTGTTTTTCTGTAGTTCAGATTAGTCTTCTAAAAAAGTGTCTCTGTCTTTAAATTAATTGAAAATAGTAAAAAAAAAAAAGATCCTTGAATATCTTTTGAAAGTATATTGTATTTCAATTCTATAATCATGTTTTATAAAATATTTAATAGATTCTGTATGTATAGTTTTTAAGATTCTTAGTAAAGGAGATACTTTAATAAGTTTAAATTATTATAATACATATTTGATATTTGGTAAAGAATTCTCAATTATTTAACAACAGAATTTTCAGACTTATGCTTCTGGATATGATGGAGTAAATGTTGCCTGCCTAGTATCTCTACAGCAATCAATTATAAAACTTTACAAATTACATTAAACAACTATAGTCAGATTATGGACAATAAGACTATTGAGACATGAAAGGTGAAATAAACCTGTAGTTTCCTACTGGTGGCACATTTGAGGCCACAGTGTAAGGTAATGGCATCTAAGAAAAGCACAACTGATCCATCAAGACAGGGAGAATTAGTTTGACACTATTGCGGCTGAACCTTGTAGGTCAAGTACCACAGGGTGGGAGCAATATAGAAAAGAACTTCAGCAAACTATGCAAAGGATCTCTTAAGTTTTTATCTCAGTACCTAGCTGTGTAAGTACAGGGCCTATCTCAAAGAGAAGCAAATAGAGAATATGCAAGTTGCAGAATGCTTGGAGACTTTGGAGCAATGAACCGCAAAAATAGAGATCTTTCAGTAAAAGCCCTGAGGTCAACTCAGAGCCCAGAAAGAAAATGTATTAGGAATAAAGCTATTGTAAACTCTTTCTAATAAACCTTTAAATTAAACCTTGAAGGAATTGAGTTCATTTGCTTGTGAACTAGCTGCCTGACAGAACAGTCTACTCTTCAAAAAAAATAAAAATGAATTCTCAACAACTTAGCATTCATGATGTCAATCATGCAATTAAAATATTCTATACACATAGAAGCATAGAAAACTTAACTCACCCACTTCGCCAAAAATAAGTAGCAGACTTACAAAGGATGCAGATATTGGATATTAACAAACACACTTTAAAAAAAAAAAAGCTTTTAACTGTTTTTTTATTTAACAAATTAAAGAGTGGCTATAATTAGTAAACAGATGAAAAATCTCAGTAGCTAAATAAAAACTATGAGAATAGAACAATGGAATTTCAGGGACTGAAAAATACAGTGTCTGAAATTAAAAATTGCTTGGATGAACTTATCAACAAATTAGATTCTCCTATAGTAGGGGAAATAGAAATAATTCAAACAGAATTCCTAAGGGAAAAAGGCTTGGAAAAAAATAAACAAAGCCTTAGTTACCTATAAAACAATATAAACTGGTATAATATGTTAAATTGCATATATGTTAAATTATATATACAGAAGGCAAATTTTAAGATATTGGGGCAGAAAATATATAAGAAACACTGACTTAAATATCTCAAATTAATCCATATATCCAAGAACTTAGCAAATCTCAAAATAAAGATAAAATATGTCAGCACATACTACCTAAATTATTTCAAACAAAAGATTAAGAAAAAAGAATTTAAGTACCCTGAGAGGAAAAGCATGTTACATATTGTGAAATATAATGATGAGTAATACTGCTTCTGTCTCACCAGAAACAATGCAAACCAGAAAGCAATGGAAAGACATTGTTAAAGGACTGAAGGAAAAAAATGTATCAAACTAAAAGTCTACATCCTATGAAAATACCCTGAAAAAATGAAGACAAAAGATAATAGATTCAGATAAACAGGAACTGAGATAATTCATCAAAAGTAGGTCTGCAGGAGATAGAGTTATTTAGGCTAAAACACATGATATCAGGTGAAAACTCAGATCAAAATTAGGGAAGTACAGGTGCCAAATATGATAAATGTGCGAGTAAAATAAAATACACTATAGTTTTGAGCTTTTTGAAAAGGTATTAGAAAAATAAAAGTTTTAATATTAGTAGAATAATTTAATAATGATAGTGTCAATTGATAGGAAGATATAACAATTCTAAGTACCTATATTTCTAATAATAAGGATTCTAAATACATAAGCAAAATTTATAATCAAAAGCTGACAAAGCTAAAGAAGAAATAGAAATATACTTAGGGATTTAAATATGATTTTCAGTGTATTTGAAGAAATGAATAATCAAAAAGTCCATAAATATAATAAAGGATTCAGACAATACTAACAACTTAAATTGATATTTAGGAAAATTTCATTCAATGGCTATATAATCAATAGTCTTTTTGAGTACAAAGGAAATATTCACAAATCTCAAAATGTTGAAGCTGAAATCAAGCAGAGTATATTATTTGACTACAAGAGAATTAAATTAGAAATTGGTAAGACTGAAGAAGAGTATGGCAACCCACTCCACTATTCTTGCCTGAGGAATCCCATGGAAAAGGAGCCTGGAAGGCTATAGTCCACAGGCTCAAACAGAGTCAAACATGACTGAAGCAACTTAGCATGCCTGCAACTAAAGAATATTTGGAAAATATTTGAAAATTTTTAAAATGCTCTTAATAACTCATCAGTTAAAGGACAAATCACAAAAAACATTAGAATTCAAAAACAATGAAAACATAACTTGTCAAACTATTATTATGTGGATGAAGAAAATGATATATACTAAAATGGAGTTTATGTCTTTAAATGCTTATATTAGAAAAGGAAGAAGGTATTCAATCAATGATAAAGCTCTAAGTCATGAAGCTATAGAAAGAAGTATAAATTTAGTTCAAAGCAATTAGAAAAAATGAAATATGAAAATAAAATCACAAATTAATTAAACACAAAACAATCTATAGAGAAAATCAGTAAAAGCAAAAATTATTTTTAAAAGATGAAAAACCTGATGAATCCTATGTGTACTGATGAAAAAAGAAATATCTCGCAAAGTGCCAGTTTCAGGGTGAAAGAGTCTATGTGGATATATTGAGGGCATTTTTCATAGAAATAGAACTAATAACTTTGAAATTTGTATGAAAAGACAGAATGCCTCCAGACAGCCAAAATAATCTTGAGAAAGAAGAGAGCTGGAGGTATCACACTTCCTTGAGTTCAGATGATGCTACAAAGCTGCAGCAATCAAACCAGAATGGTACTGGCACACACCAGACATGATCAGTGGACTAGAATAGATAGGCTGGAAAGAAACCCACACACTTAAGGTCAATTAGTCCACAGCAGAAGAGGCAAGAATATACAGTGGAGAAAAGACAATCTCTTCAACAAGTGGTGCTGGGGAAAGCAACGTATAAAAGAGTGAGATTAGAACATTTCCTCACATGGTATACAAAAATAAACTAAAAATGGATTAAAGACCTAAATATAAGGCCTGAACCCCTAAAACTCCTAGAAGAAAACAGGCAGAACACTCTTTGACATAAATTGTACCAATATTTTTTTAAAATGTCTCCTAAGGTGAAAGAAATAAAAATAAATTTTTAAAAATGAGACCTAATTCAACTTAAAATCTTCTGCACAGCCAAAGAAACCATTGACAAAATAAAAAGATTATCTGGTGTATGGGAGAAAGTATTTGCAAATGCTATGACTCACAAGGGATTACTATCCAAAATATACAAACAGCTCATAAAAGTCAATATATATTAAAAAAAAAGCCTGATTAAAAATTGGTCAGAAGGCCCCAATAGACAATTTCCAAAAGAAGACTGCAGATGGCCAACAGACATATGAAAATATGTTCAACATTGTTAATCATCAGAGATATGCCAATCAAAACCACAATGAGATATCACCTCACACCTATCAGAATACCTATTAAAAAAAATGTTCAGGAGGATGTGGTGAAAAGCGAACACTTGTACACTGTTAGTAAGAGTGTAAATTGGTGTAGTCACTTGGAAAACAGTATGAGGTTCCTCAGAAAACTAAAAAAAAAGTATGATATGACCCAGCAATATACTCTTGGGTGTATATATATCTATATCTATATGTAAAATCAAAACCCAAAATGCTAATATACATGCATTTGAAAATATACATGCATTCCATTCTTCATAATAGCATTATTTCCAGTAGACAAGATAGGAAAGGAACCTAAGTTGCTTAATCAGAGTATATACACACAATGGAATTCTGCTCAGTCATAAAAAAAAAAAAAAAAAAAAAAAGAAATGATGCCATTTGCAACAATGTGGATGGACCAGGAGGGTATTATACTTGGAGAAATAAATCAGACAGAGAGAGAAAAATGCTGTGTATTATGTCTTATATGGGGATTCTAAAACATAAAACAAATGAATGAATATAACAAAACAGAAATAGACTCACAGATACAGAAAACAAACTAGTGGTTACCAGTGGAGACAGAGAACTGAGAGTGCAAACTACTATATATAAAATAAACAAGCCACAAAGATCTATTGTATAGCCCAGGAATATAGTCAATGTTTTATAATAAGTTTAAATGGAGTATAAAGATTTTGTAACACTGTTGTGTACTTGAAAACTACTTTTGTAAATCAGCTATGACCTCACTCAAAAAAGAAAGTGGATATCATGTAGTGCAAATAAATATTTCAGAGTAATAAACAAGTTGTATGCCACAAAGTCTTGAGGATATGATGTGAAAAAATATCATTCAAAAGG